GGGAGCCAAACCATAAGAGACTCTTAAAAACTGAGAATAAACTGAGGGTTGATGGGGGGTGGGAGGGAAGGGAAAGGGGGTGATGGTCATTGAGGAGAGCACCTGTTGGGATGAGCACTGGGTGTTGTATGGAAACCAATTTGACAATAAATTTCATATAATAAAATAAAATAAAATAAAATAAGCCTCCTATGAGTTTAGGGTAGGTTTTGTGGTTCAGTAAATTTGTACCAAAATTAAAAAACAAAAACAAAAACAAAAACCTCATAGAAAAAATGGCAATGTGGGAGAACCCACCTTTCCCTATCCCCCACAAAATCAACCACTAGACAGCTACCAACTAACAAAAATAGCTCTAAAGAGACCCCCTGAACACATTTATGACATTTTGGCAATGTGGTACAACAACAAAAAAACAAAACAATTTGTCAATTTCAGGACCAGTATTTGCAAAAATAAACAGTGTACAGATGAATAGGAACTTCTGAAAATAGTTACCATGGGGGGTGAGGGGGAGGTGGGGAGATGATATGGAAGGAAGGGCAGGGGTAAAGTGGTGCTTTCAACTTTTTTCCCACATATTCAAAAAGTATTTTAGCTGTGGGAATGGATGCTGATGTCTGTGGAGGACTACAGACAAGGTCCCCTTTGAGCGATTAAGGACGACTTGCATTATAAAAAAGATTCTGACATGGAAACAAAGCCTCCCTGGGCTATGGTCTGTTGCTTTGCAAGTAACATTAGGGACAGTGGTGTTCTGGAGCTCTGTACTGAGGTCTCACTGAACACGTCATGCTGTCATTCACAAACAAGCTGAAGTTTTCTTGTGTGTTGGCTAATCTCTCCAATTTTGATACCTGTGTTATATAACTCTCTTTTTTAAAAATTTGGAAACTTCTGGGGCGCCTGGGTGGCTCAGATGGTTGAGCATCCAACTTCGGCTCAGGTCATGATCTCGCAGTTTCTGAGTTCGAGCCCCGTGTCAGGCTCTGTGCCGACAGCTCAGAACCTAGAGTCTGCTTTGGGTTCTGTGTCTCCCTCACTCTCTGCCCCTCCCCTGCTCACACTCTCTTTCTCTCAAAAATAAATAAACGTTAAAAAAATTTTAAAAAATAATAATAATTTGGAAATTTCCTTTCTCTTTATCTGCTATGAAAAAGCTTAAATGGCATTAGAGTTTGTTCATAAAAGGGATAACTCCCCAGGATGTGTCTGGGCTTCATGCTTTCATGGAAAATAGAACTTTCTGTTTCAGGTATGAAGTTCTATCAATACACACTTTGTAGAAAATCATCAGTTTTATTCAAATTTTCAAAATCACAGACATTGAGTTAAGTTGACTGTCTTACAATTCACAGTATGAAAACAGGGAGGGATACATGACCCAGAGAGGCCACATACAATACAGAACACTTGAGCCATCTGACACACAGCCCAGGAGTAGACAGGGCAAAGCAGGAGAGGGTTACAGGAGCCAAAAGATTAGTACAGTGGACAGTTCTTACCACAAGCCAAAAAACCAAGACCCAAGATCACGGTTTAGTCAATCCCTAAACCCTGCACAGAGTGCATACCAAAGGAGGTTTCCTGTAGGGGGCGCCTCTTAAGAAAAGTGCCATCCAGCTCTTTAGCCCCAAGAGGTCAGCAGCCGCCTGCAGGGAGGAGCTAGCCCTGAGAGGCAGGGGCTGGGAAAAGGTGCAAGACAAGAAGAGCAAGCTCCCCAGAGGAAGATGCACCTCAGCTGGGCCTGGAAGATATCACTGCAGGGCAGGAAAGGCAGAGAAGGGCAGCACTGCTGAGTAACAGCAAAAACAGGGGCAAGAGAGCCTGCCCATGTCTGCCCTAGGCCACCACTGGTCATGTTCTGTATAAACTTTCGGGAAAACAGGAGGCCAATACTTATACCATGAAAAAATATTTCACTCAATCTGGGGCGCCCGGCTAGATCAGTTGGAGGAGCATGTGACTCTTGATCTCAGGGTCATGAGTTCAAGCCTCACATTGGAATAGAGATTACTTAAAAAACAAACAAAAAAGCCCAAGAACTATAACCAATACTTGAAGACGAAACAATCAGAATCAGAACTGGAATGGGAATCAGGTAGCCATGGCTGGGGCTCACTCCTGAGCCTCCTCTCACAAGCATGCAATGAGGGCAGTGGCACCAATTCTTCCCAATGTGCCAATGGCTGGGATGGGGTCATGCAGGAAGCCATGAGAAACCCCAAGGGACAAAGAATCCAGGGAGGAAGGAAGAAGGTCAGAGACTTAGGCCCTCAAGATGAGAAGGTGTGGGCCAGAAGGTCGACAGCCAGGGAAGGGGCACAAAAGGCACAATTCCTCACATCACATGGCTATGTGGACACTACATATACAGGACTGACCACTCAGCCTTGGTCTTGGCACCTGCTCGGGTGGGCTTCTAACCAGCCTTACAAGAACACCACTAGGGGAGGGGGGCACTAAAAGACTAAGGTATAAAGTGCCACAATGTCTTAAAAAAGGTGTGTATGGGGGCGCCTGGGTGGCTCAGTCAGTTAAGCACCTGACTCTTGATTTCGGCTTAGGTCATGATCCCAGGGTCATTAGATGGGGCCCTGTTGTCAGGCTCTGCACTGTGTGTGGAGCCTGCTTAAGATTCTCTCCCTCCCCCTCTCTCTTTCTCCCTCTCTCCCTCTCTCCCCCCTCACCCATCCCTCCCTACTGGCATGCACACGAGTGTACTCTCCCAAACAAAAGAGGGAGGCATGTATGTGTGTGTGTCTGTGTGTGTGAAGAGAAAGGAAATATGACAAAATGTCAACAACTGGTATTAAGATGTTCGTAATATTCTTTCAACTTTTCCACAGATCTGAAATTTTTCAAAATGAAATATTGGGGAAACCAGAGTAAAAACCAGTATAAAACAAAAATGTGTTTTATACCAAGATACAGAAAATTCATTTTATAAAACACAACAAAGTCTAGCATTGGCTTTTTAAAAAAAACAGGAAGAAAGGGGGGCGCTTGGCTGGTTCAGTCAGAAAAGCATGCGACTCTTGACCTTGGGGTTGTGAGTTCGAGCCCCTTGTTGGGTATAGAGATTACTTAAAAATAAATAAATAAAAGAGAAATAGGAAAAAAGAGAAGGTGCCCCAAAAACAAGACAGCTGGAAGAAAAACAGATTCAAAAACCCCTCTGTCCCACTCACTGTTGGGGAGTCATCACAACAAGCAGTGGGAGAAGCTCGGGGAGAAGCAAGGGACTTGGCAGCTTCTGGCTGGTCCCTCCCACCAGATCACTGTGGGTGCCAACACAATACCTAGTGGAGCCAGGACTACCTGTTACCTTACTCGTAAGAACAGAACACGTGACGTAACTCACCTGAAGTAATCGCAGGACGCAGCCAGCAGGATTCGATGGGCCTCGATGTGTCTCCCCTCCACCACCAGGACCACATCAAAGAGGATGCCACTGTCCCGGAGAGCCAGCAGCCCCCGGAGCAGAGCCTGGGAGTGCTGTGCACTCCGGTAAGTGTTGTTGACACAATGAGGGTGTGAGGGCTGCACAGGCAACTTGCACAGCTGAGTGAACTCCTGCTCCTCTGCCATCCTGACCACCACACCAGACCTCACCACTGCGGCTGTCAGCTGGCAAGACAGAGGGGACACAGAATAAGCCAGGGAGGTAACACCACACAATACGCAGACTGGCCAGCTCTCCTCCCAAGTGGCACCTGCTGCTCCTGGCACTTTTGTTCCTCCCACCAGCACACCTGTGCTTCCCCTGTGGTTTTGTTTTTTTTCTTTTTTTTTTTTTTTTTTAATTTTTTTTTTTCCAACGTTTATTTATTTTTGGGACAGAGAGAGACAGAGCATGAACGGGCGAGGGGCAGAGAGAGAGGGAGACACAGAATCGGAAACAGGCTCCAGGCTCTGAGCCATCAGCCCAGAGCCCGACGCGGGGCTCGAACTCACGGACCGCAAGATCGTGACCTGGCTGAAGTCGGACGCTTAACCGACTGCGCCACCCAGGCGCCCCTTTTTTTTTCTTTTTAAACATTTATTCAGTTTTGAGAGATAGAGAGAGTGCAAGTGGGGGAGGGGCAGACACAGAGGGAGACACAGAATCTGGAGCAGGCTCCAGGCTCTGAGCTGTCAGCACAGAGCCCGACTCAAGCTGGGCTAGAACTCACCGACAGTTGAGATTGTGACCTGAGCCCAAGTCGGCCATTTAACTGAATGAGCCACACAGGTGCCCTGCCCCTGTGGTCTTAAACCCCTGAATTTCCTCTTCCCTCCCACTGCTCATCTGAACCTGGAGCCTCCTTCCTGATGACCTGTGTGTCCCTTCATCTCTAAGATTCTTCATTAAATTTTATCTCCTTTAGCATCTCTGGGAAACAAAAGGTTCTGGAAACAGACTGACCTTGGTTGAGGCCCTGGCCCTACCACAGATTCACTGCATGACCAACCTGAGTTCAGGATCCTCAAATGAAAAAAGGGAAATAAAATCACCCCTCCTGTTCAGAAAGTCTAAAACTGGTAAACAATGAATATAAAGCATCAGCACAGAACAGGTTCTCAAGAGCTCTTCCTCTCTGCCATTAAGAAAGAACAAACCCTGGGTGCCTGGTGGCTCAGTTGGTTAAGCGTTCAACTTTAGCTCAGGTCTTGATTTCAAAGTTCGTAAGTTTGAGCTCCACATCAGGCTCTGTACTCACAGTGAGGAGCCTGCCTGGATCCTCTGTCTCCCTCTCTGTCTGCCCCTCCTGTGGGTATGCTCTCTCTCTTTCAAAAATAATAAACATTAAAAAAAAAAAAAA